ATAATAGTTATACTACATGTACACACACACACACACACACACACACACACACATCACACACACACACACCACACACACACAACACACACACACACACACACACCACAACCATATAATAGTATACTATATATAAGTATAGTATGACTTGAACAATAATATATTACTATATATATAATAGTATATATATAAATAATGTATATATATGCTTAATATACTAATTATGAGTATATAGTATAATCATTATAGTTAGTAGTAAACTTATATATATTATATACATATGTATATATACATAATATAATATATCCATTAAGTCTTGGACAAGCTATTATAAAATATTATATAACTAGTATGACCAATAATATAATATATATATTATATACATAGATATATAAGTCATAAGGTAATACATCATATAATGATAAATAAATATATAATATTATATACATACTATATTAATTATATATATATATAAATTAAGCTAAGCTTTACGTATAGTTTAGACATATATACAATATATATAGTAACACGCACACACAACACACCACACACACCACCACACACACACCACCAACATATATAGTATATAAGGATATCTTATAGTTAGATAGCTAAGTACTAATATTAATATATAATAAAATTAGTATTATATATATGTATATAATAAAGTAATATATAAATACTTATATTATTATACCTGTAAATTGATATTAAAATACTCTATATACAATAAATATATTGCCAATGTACATGTTATATACAATAAATAGATATGGATATATACATACTTATAGCGTATTATTAGAGCAATATTATATAGGAGGATATATATATATACATACATTATATATTTACTCTATAATATGTACACATATTATCATAGTATAAGTATATATAAACATATAATACACAGTACTCTACTACTACATATATATGTATATATAAGTATAATTCATGAACTAATAAATAAATTATACTATACTAATTAGATATATATATGTGAGTTAATGCATGCTATCATATTTAAGCTCTCTTGTAGGGCCAACTCTCGCAATGTGAATGTTGACGCTTCATGTTTGCAGGCGTCTCTTAACATTGGTACTGTGTTTTGAGAAAACATATTGTCCGCGATACACAGGAATGGAAATTCTTCCTTCGAGATTCGAAAAGCGCTGATTGAGCGGTGTTTCCTTTGCTCTGATAAATTTATTTGTTTCCTTTGCATTAGTATAGAGGACAACCTAGGACGATTTACTTTTGGCTTATAGTATTTTTTTTTCTGTTATTTATCGCAGTGACAATAAGTGCTGCTATAGGTTATGAGTTTATCGCTCGAGTTGAGAGTCCTTTATATGCATATACAGCAATAGTGGAATACAGTCATGATAAATATAATAGAATATAATTATAATATATTAGTAGTGTATATATTAATATATGATCCAAACTATATGATATATAGTATACAAATACCCAGGCTTATAGCAGAGGGTGACAGTGGTCGATGACATAGTGACAGCTAATATTTATATGGGTGTTTGGGATCTTGAAGAGATGTTTAGTGTGGTTGTGTGTACAAATACAAGTCACGACACAAGCTACACACACACACACACACACACGGTATACCACAACAACACACACACACACACACCACACACAGCACACACACACACACACACGACACAGCAACAACAGCGACACACACACACAACACACAAAACCCCTAGTCCACTCTAGATGCACTGGGTGCACAGATAGCAGCGCGAGCACATAAGTGATCATCCCTCTGTCTTCGACCCAAATTCGTCCGTGAGACCGGAGACTGGTGGCAAGTTCTTGATTAAGCTGCTTGCCAATTATTCATAGACCCAGGACTCGTTGTTACATACCACGGTGCCGACAGCTCACCCTTCTTCGGCCTAATGCCGTCCACCGTTGCACGATTACGCGGAAGTCCTTCACCTGACCTACCACCACTTAGCGGCAACAGCCTTGACGTTTGCTCGTGGTCTCACATACCATAACGAGCGCGGCTCTTGTTTGTTTCTTTGCTTACTCCGCACCTATCTGAGTCGACCTCCGGTCTTTTCCCTTCGCCTTCCTTCAGCCCTACGGTCCGACGAGTATAATCGATTTCTCGACTCTGCGCGTCCGCTTATGATGCTCTCTCTTCTCTCGCTGTTCTGTGTTGGTCAGTATTGTTTTGTTGTTTGTGACTCTGGTTGTTTTACTTACTTCGTATGATGCCGTCGTAACATCTATTCATATTCTTGTTATCTCGAGTTCATTAATATAAACTTCATCCTCCATCATATCCTATCCTTCCTCAGACTCACCTAGTAATATGTGGAATCTTAGTATAAACTTATTCCGTACAACTTAACTGTATCAGTTTCATTTTCAAATTAAGTGCTCATTATATCGCTTTTGTGTTAGAGTCAAGGATTGGTAGCGAATTTAGTGTAGCATGCCAATATTTTGATACATGTATCCGAATTATTACTATCTTACACAGCACATTTAATCTATATTCTTTAGCAATGATTAATGCTCAATGTTAACGAAATTTTATCCGTTCTTCTTTATCACTATACAACCTACCATCGACTCGTGGTATCCATTGCAAGAGATAATTTCATTTCCCTACTTTAAATAAATAAACTGGTTAACACATGGAGGCAGCCCAAAGTTCCTCATCATGAGTTGAGTAGTGTATTGTGCTGGAGTTGTTATTATTATTTTCGTTGTTTTTGTTGTTGTTTATACTAGAACACTATGAAGATAAACATATATATTATTATTTAAGTTTAATACTATATATAAGTAACATAAATATTCTCACTAGCTTATGATAATAGAATGTAGCTTAACATAACTAAACTAAATACTTATAGAGATCAAAGCTATGACTTTCTCGATATTACTACAATTGCGCACACTATCATAATACACTCTATAAAGTTCATCAATCTGTTTCACATCACCACCACCCCAAACATGTAGATAGAAGACTAGATGACCAGATAATAGCCCTAGATAAATCCATTAATAGATTCGTATTACTCTATATCAGGATCTCTCTAGCTTGCATATATACTTAGTCAGAGTCTGTTGTGCTAAACGTAAGTGTGCATATAATCAGAATCGACTCACTTTCGATTTCCTATGTTCGCCTTCCGCTCCTCACGGGGCTGAATGAACGCGTGAGTCCACGGTTACGATAGAGGATGATTGCTGGTGAATATATATCACGTGTAAAGACTACAATCTCTCTTTCTCTCTCTCTATCTGTGTGTGTGTATGTATATATATATATATATATATATGTATATATATATATATATATATATATATATATATATATATATATATATATATATGTATATATATATATGTATGTATATATATATGTATGCATATATATATTTGTATATCTGTATATCTATGTATTTATCTACCTATCTATATAAATATATATATATATATAATATATATATATATATATATATATATATATATATATATATATATATATATATATATATCAGCGGATCCCAGATGTTCCGGAGGAAAAAGCGAATTGTGTAACAAGAGGTGCCACACCAAAAAGTTAACGGGGGTGGGGAATATTTTGCAATTCGAGGCATTTCACTTCAACAAAATCGTCCTTAGACTGTTTCCTAAAGGTGCTGTCACACTAGCACGTTTTCCGTTTTTTACTATTTCTGAAATTTTGTCCATTTTTGAGCGAATTGTCGATTTTCCAGTCAGACGATAATGATCGTTTCCGTCTGAAAGCCTTAACGTCAACTTTTTCAGCCAAGCATACTCAAATCAAGAGTTATATTCGAGAATGTTTGTATTTATGTTAATAAAATTGTCAAAAAAAAAAAAAAAATGACGGAAAAAGTGCTAGTGTGACACGGAATAAAGAAATGGAGTTTCAATTTTTCATGCATTGCTTCGTTGAAGGGCGTAATCTTTTACACTATACTACTTTCCTTCGCCCTCTTCTGGACGACACTATTATATATATATATATATATATATATATATATATATATATATATATATGTATATATATATATATATATATATAATATATATATATATATGTGTGTGTGTGTGTGTGTGTGTGTGTGTGTGTGTGTGTGTGTGTGTGTGTGTGTGTGTGTGTGTGTGTGTGTGTGTGTACATGCATGTATGTATGTATATATATATATATATACACAGTATATATATATATTATATATATATATATATATATATATATATATATATATTATATATAATATATATATATATACATATATATATAATACATATGTATATATATATATATATATATATATATATATATATATATATATATATATATATGTATATATGTATGTTATATAGATAATTAGTATGCGACCGAACGCTTCCTCCTCGCACTGCGTACGAACGCGGGTCCGTCCAAACTGTCAGCTAATGACGCAATCTTCGGTTCCTTTCAACAAACTAAACGAAGTTTTCATTCTCTTTCTCATTCTCTGCGCTTGAATTATTATACAGATGTCGATTTGTCATGTACACACTCATGACTTCTTGCTATAATGAGTTCAAGGAAAAGAATTTCTATTTCGAGATATTTTCCCTTGAGCATCAAGGTTGACACTGCCGGCACCTATGATGACGTGGACTAACTCGGCAACAATATGTACACACATTTCCCTTGATTAACAATTACATAAACGGAAGGGCATATGGAAAAACATTTGTGAATTATGAAAAGCATGCTTAGCAAGCACACGCAAACCACAAAATCCTCTGATTTGAAGCAATATTGAGCACAAGCCACCAGCGATTGTACCCGTGACTGCACATACTAGAAAGCCTCCCCCTGAAGAGTCATCGTGCCCAGGAGCTCCACGTTGCCCTCCTGCATTCCTTGAAGCGCCCACGAGGCCCCCTCAGAGTCCCGAAGGGCCCGGCGCCCCCCGAGCAAGTCAAAGCGGGCGCCGCCGGCCGGCCAATCAGGCGCCGCCACACGAGAGCGGCCGGCGAGGGACACCTCAGCCCTCATCCTCTGTGCACGCTGTGTCTGACAGGGAGAACCACCGTTGCCACGGGAGAGCAACAGCTTCTACACTCTCCTCTTGGGCGGAAGGAGGTAAGTGCACGCGTACGGGAGCTGGGAGGGATGAGGATAAAGATGCGTGGGAGAGGAAGAAGGGGAGATGAAGTGAGGCAAGCACAGCCCTCTTGACAGGCGAATGTTTGTGCTCTTTATTATTATTGTGACGTCCAGCTGAGACCCATGAGGAGCCTGGGGGAGGTGGTGGCGTGGGGAAAGAAAGCTTGGGTTCAAGGAGGACTCAAGGGAATGCGCTAGAAAGGGAAGGACACTGCAGACTGGGATCAGCTGTTGAGGAGAAAAGATAAAAAAGAGAGAGGAACGAAAAAGTAAAATTTTACGCATAGGGTAAGGGGTCCAAGTGGGGAACAGGTTGTTTGGTATAAAACTAATACATTATTACATCGTATTCCAAAATAGCATTATTGAATGTGACCCTTTCAACAGTTTCATAGAGCATTTCATATTGAGGCTTTACTGGGAAATTATGAACCAGATTGGAAGCTCGTACACACCAGCAGGAACTTCACCAAACCCCTATATGGTTATCAAATTTCGTTTGGTAATGCTTTCAGATATTACGATTTAAAAATTGTAAGGTTCAAGTATGCTGCTCAATTGTGTGTGTGTTTTAGTTTTTAGAGCTTCAGCACTTGCTGAGAAATCGCTAGAAAGGCCTGAAAGTCTATTAATAATTTGGAATAGTTTGTTTCACTCAGCCATCAACTTTGAAATTAATATTCCTTTGTTGCAAGTAATGATAGTGTAATATGCAAGTATCTCTTGTTTTCCATTGTAAATGATGTAAGTGAAAGTAGACTTTTGGTAATTGTCAACACAGTAACAGCACCTCCGAGATTAAGTCCCTATTACGCCAGCCAGTCCTTGGGATCCACAAACATCACCATATGAACCAGTAACCTTCCTACCCCAAGGGCTTTGCCCCTGAGACCCCCACCTGACTGCTGTATTTTCCTATTGGGAGCTCTGCCTCCCATAACCCCCTTATGCTGTGGACTTACTCTGTGTGGTATTTTTCTTGACTTATTTTCTATGTTTCTGACATTATTCTTTGCCTGTGCAGGTTATTTGATGCATCAGTGAGCATAGTATTTCACTTTCAGTAATTTTCTATATTACCTTCGCCTCTCCGATATCGACAATTTTGGTATCGTTGGATTCCTCTCACTCTGTACAATCCAAATATCTAGGTTTTATTGCCCGGAAACCCCTTGTTAGTGGCAAACTTGGCCCTGATAGTGGGGGCGACAATGTCGGAGCGGCGGTTGGAGCGGCGGACGTAATATAGAAAATTACCTTAATATAACCCACAGTGAAAATAACCATGGTTAGTCGCATGACTTTCTATTCTGCGACCCCCCTGGTGGGGGCTGCCGCCCCCAACCCCCGCCGAGGAAACAAAATATCCACCACATATTCACGGCAAGATATAGCGCACACGAACTAGATGCAGAGCCGATAACCCCTACCATAACCTAGTAGGAGCACCCTCCACACTCAGTCATCGCCGCGGGTATGGTGAAGTACTGAACACGGTGGTTATTTCGGTTAGGTATTCGAAAATCGTGGTTCCAGGGTACGGGAAACTCGACCTTGAGGCCATCGGAGTAACATCGAGAGAGGTGCAAAACCTGCCACCGAGGGCGCTCTTCTGTTCATGGTATACCCTGTTCATCCTGATTATACTACAATCGTCTCTGTATACAATGCTGACTATGTCATAGTTAGAATGCTGATTCAGTGGGAATGTTACGAGGTAATTGTAATACGTCCGCCGCTCCGAGATCAACAATAATTTTGTAATGCTCTAGCCTGCCGGGAATACGTGGTGGATGTTGTTTCCTCAGCAGGGGTTAGGGGGCGGCAGGGTCGCAGGGGGCAAAGCCCCCTTTAATGAAAAGTCATGTGAATAACCATGGTTAATTTCAGTTTATTAGTGTTATTTAACCCCGCATTTTCCCTGGAACTTTCCTTGCCCTCCCTTGCTATCCGGGCCAAGTTTGTCACTAACGGGGGGGGGGGGGGGTCCGCATAATAAAAGCTATATATTTGCAATGTGGACAATGAGAGGAATCCAACGATACCAAAATCGTCGATATCGGAGAGGCGAAGGTAATATAGAAAATACCTCACTTTCTTTGATTGTTTTTAGATTTCCTTGTAAATGTATACCAGAGTACTATGTGTTCCAAGACATCAGTTTGCAAAGGAATTACTATAGCTGAAAGGTGTTTTATTTTCAGCTGTTCTGTCCAATTACCCCTGATGAAATTTTGTCAACCTTTGCTAGAATGTGATCTTATAGGAAGTGCTCTCTTCTATTTTTAATATCTGACAGCACTATCACCCTTTACTTATGCCAGTTAATGTGGTAAAAGTTTACAATAGGCCTGTATCCATCAGGCTAAGTCCCCTAAAGAAACTATCAAATACGTGAACCCTATACTAAATATGCATACTACCATATAGATTGCTTTGAAGCAAAAGCCTTCCTACACTTGATGCTTTACTGCACATAACCCACTGATTGCTATTTTTCACTAGTTGGTGTATACTTTGAATTCAGTAAACACTGTGAGCATCTTGGAAAAATTCAGCCATCGGTATTTGATATTTAAATGCATATTATAATGATATTCTGTGAGTGCATTCTTTTTTTCTTAACTTTCATGCAGTTAGTTACACCATATAGAATGAGAAAATATGATTTTCTTTAACCCATTGGATATAGCTACCTTGCTGTTTGCACATGGGCCAAAATCCTGGCTTTAGTCTTACTTGAATGATGACTCTCCCAGATATTTGGCTTATAAGTTCGAAGATGCAAAACTCGGCAGTCTTTGGCAATCCCCGGTTGTGACGTCATTCCCAGGACAGGGAGAATCTTGTTGAATAGTGTGATGCACACAGTGCACCGCGAGTCAAGGATATCATTGAATTGTCCCAGTTTCAAGCTATTAAAGTTTGTAACAAAGAATGCCACGGTGTTGTGTAGCAAGTCATTGTTCCCATTCATGTCACCAGCTATTTGAATGGCCAAAAGACCGCGACAGAGCAAGGAAGTGGACACGTTTTGTGCATGCCAAGTGGAGCAACTTTCAGCCTGTGCCAACCAGCATGCTTTGCCTGAAACACTTCGAGCCTGATTGCTTTGCGAACAGAATGACTTACGACATGGTATTTGCAAAATGGTAGGCCATTTCCAATTTATATTTGTCATGATCACAACAGTGCAAAACAAATTCTGAAAGAGCTTGGCAGCGTAGCAAACATTCATTACGTGGGTACGACACAGTGTGCCGAGTGCATTGCAAGTGTGCATGTATTACTTCATAGAGGTAGGGTAGGTACACCCCAAAAAGCACAACACAAATAAATACTGATGCCCTTCCACTTGCAAATGGATGTAGGCCTGCGCCACGGGTGCAGACAAGAGATAACGCAGCCTGCAGAAATTTTGTACCATACAGAAGCGGGATCACACGTTCGATTATAAAAAATAATTTAGAAAATTACCATTTATTCAATCTCTTTGTATATCGACACCACTCCATGTCTGGCTTGTTTGGCACAACTTCCACGACATCCATAGCTTCGGGCTCGTGCATGTACGGTCCAACAACCATCAACCCTTGATATTTCTCTTCTTCCAACTCTTCGAAGACATAGGCACCCTCTGAAGAAGTTGTACCAATGTCCTCGTCGGAATAATCCAATGAAACTTACTGATTTCACTGTCGCTGTAGTCTTGTAGTGAGTCCGCCATGTTGTACAATGTATTGAATGCAGAGAATGTTGTGATCGTGTTCTAGAATTGATGTCACACATCCGGGTTCTGGATTTTTGCGGGAAAATATAACTTGACCAGAAAATCGAAATAAATCAATTTTGGGGAATTATTTTTTCAGATTTCCTTTTTTACTCATATTAGATAGATGGTTTGCGAGCTAAGTCTCCCTTTTTAAAATTCTCAGTTGTTACTTCACATAAGCCCTTTAAACACAAGACAGCTTACATTCTTTTTGTATAGTTCTCTTTTTCTGTATCATAAGCATTTTTTTTTTTTTTTTTTCCCTTCCCTTTTCAAAGATCTATATTTGTCTTGAAATGCTGTATCAAAATGATGGATTGTTTTACTTGCACAAACTCTGTGGCATCTGTGGCTAGATAGTCTGTAACACAGTACTATAACAAAAACAATAAGTAATGTTTTGTTATTTGTCAACTCATTATATTTTCGTAATGTTTAATTTTTGTTAATACACCCTGCATTGGTAGTCACAGCAAACAGAGTAAGATCCTAAGCATGGAAATAGTGCCTTCCATGGAACTTGTGTTCTTCCAGTCACAGCTCAGGGATGGTATATTCCACACTACTTTCACAAGACATTTGTCATAAATCACTGATATTTTCTGATATTGGTATAAAAGTGTTCTTGAAACATTCAAGAACTCATATCTTATGTCAATGTCAAAAAATAGTATACAGGATTTAACATCACGTATTATAGATTAGTATTCATAGAGCATCTATGTGTAGAGACAATTAATAGATTAAACCCACAGTGGCTGGTTAAGATTCTGATAAATGAATATTGTACACTACTTACTTCATAATTTGCTATACTCTGGGCCGCAATACATAATGGGCAATACTAATAAAGGCAGCCGCACTACAAATACCAAGGAAAGTAAAATAGAATTATTGACTTGTGTTCGTAGATGTCGGGGAGGTTAATAAGATTGTAGGGATCTCACAGGTTGTGCTTTAATTGAAATTCAAAGGTCCATAAACCTCATTGTCTCGAACTGTCTCGAATGTAAACGATACTGTGAGCTTTCTGAAAAGTACGATGAAATACCTGCCGGAAAGGGGGTCTGGGGGCTTGCCCCCAGGTAGGGAAATACCCCCAGGGAAGGGGGTAAGGAAATGCCCTAGGGAAAGGGGGTCTGGGGGCTTGCCCCTGTTTAGGAAGTAGAGAAATACCCCAAGGATGGGGAGTCCGGGTTGGGTTGGGTTAACAAATTTCGTCGGGATTTCGGCAACACTGACACCAGTGCGACACATCTTGCAGTGGCACCAGACTCTCGTCCAGATTTTGCATTTTTCAAAATTTTCACTTTTGATTCCACTATTTCTCCCGTGTGTGTGTCCCCCCTCCCCTCCCCGATTCTCCACAGGTCCCCCAAGACAAGGCGGTAGGAGACAAAAACATAAGAAATAGGTGCAGCTGTCTTACTTAGAATTACTGCATAATGTAATGTAGATAAATATAATAGTGTGCTAGGCAGTAATCATGACTCCATGGTTTAGATTGGTATTCTAGAGAATATTGGGCACAGTGCCAGAAAATATTTGAAGTCTTACACTTAATCAAAATTGCATTACTTCTCATTCTACAATTTTTCTTCTTATTGTCTGTTATGAAAATAACTATATTGTATTTTTCCTTTCATTAAAAAAAACAGGCATTCAAGCTTGAATCATAGTGATTTTATTTCATGAAGATGTAAAAGTGCTTGTAAAAATGACTAAGCTAACTACATCATTTGAATATCCTGACAATGATGAATTAACTTGTATATATATTATTCCCTCAAAAAAGCTTCTATCATGACCTATTCTGTTCCAGACACAACAATGATGGTACCTGACGTACGATGGACAATGGGCTTGTCCCTTCTAGTGTTATTAGGTATCATAGGAAGCTCCAGTGGTGTCACCATCATGAGCATTGACTTTGGGTCAGAGTGGATAAAGGTTGCTGTTGTAGCGGTAAGTAGATGTTGTAATGATCTGGCTTCTTGACATGATTGAAATAGTTTTTGACTTGTCACATTTGTAAGTTTTAGCAGAAAAGAATGATGCATGCACAGATGAAGTCATTCATTGCTATTAATCTTTCAGCCGGGAGTCCCCATGGAAATTGTCCTAAACAAAGAATCTAAAAGGAAGACCCCAGGAGCCGTGTCCTTCCGAAACGGAGAGCGAACCTTTGGAGAGGATGCTTTAACAACTGGTATTCGCTTCCCAGCAAATAACTACTTCTATCTCCTTGACTTGCTGGGAAAGAAAATAGACAACCCTATTGTCGAACTGTACAAAAAGCGGTTCCCCTTTTATAACATCGAAGCTGATCCTGAGAGAGGAACTGTTGTATTTAGACATAATGAGTAAGTATGACTTCATGGCAGAAGTAGGGAAGAGTGAATTATTACTCTCCTTTATTTGAAAAGCATTTAAATACTGGCAAGTTTAAGAATTGTTATAAATTTTTATTATTTTCCACAAAGATTTGACTCAAAAACTATTCATGAAATCAGCCCATTCCATTTGTGACCAGATATTAGGGCTTTAATCTCTAAAAACAGATTAAACTGCCAGGAAGTTCTCCTCACATTATAAAAACTGATCACAAACCATGAGCTAGAGATATTTCACTAATGTGTTATATGTTTAGTAATTGGTACTGTGTGATTTTTTTCCCTGCCAGTGACACAACCTACACAGTGGAGGAGTTGATAGCTCAGATGTTAGCCTATGCCAAAGACATGGCAATGTCACACACTGAGCAAAGGATAAAGGACTGTGTAATCACAGTCCCTCCCTTCTTCAACCAAGTTGAGCGCAGAGCCATGCTGACTGCAGCTGAGCTGGCGGGACTGAAGGTAGGAGAATCAACAGCATGCTCCCCTTATATTTATCAAAATTTGATAACTAACTTACGGTATTATTTATCTTCACATTAGATTGTGGAAATTAGACAAAATATCTTATCATTGCAGGTGCCATAAGAGGATAACAATTGTTTTATTTGTTGTGTGTTCTGTTACTTATATCATTGATCTTTACTCTGGTTTAGGTTCTGTCCCTTATGTCGTCCAATGCAGCAGTTGCCCTGAACTATGGTATGTTCAGGCGAAAAGAGATCAATGCTACAGCCCATAACATCCTCTTTTATGACATGGGAGCCTCTTCAACCATAGCGACCATTGTCTCTTACCAGACAGTTAAAACAAAGGACAGAGGATACACAGAGACCAATCCACAAGTCACTGTACTAGGGTTAGGGTAAGTTTTACTGCAGTTTGTTTAAACTGAGCTATGTTAAGGCGACTTGGGATTTGGTTTGCATTCAAGAAAATCTAGTAAGTCTTGTTAGTGGAAGATAAAAGAAACTCAACCCATATTTGAATAATGTAATTTCATTATTAAGAATATAACAGTCAAATGATTTTTCATAAATTAACATATTTATTAGAGCAGGATCATGTATCAAATTTGATATTATACTATAAATTTTCAGATATGATCGTACATTAGGCGGGCTGGAAATGCAAATGCGCCTCCGGGATTATTTGGCCAAGAAATTCAATGAAATAAAGAAGACCCCAAACAATGTTCTGGAATCTCCTCGTGCACTGGCTAAGCTCATGAAGGAAGCTGGCAGATTAAAGAAAGTCCTCTCTGCAAATTCTGATCATCTGAGTCAGGTTAGTGATTTTGTTGCAAGAACATAAGTTGATAGGTGTCTCTCCATTGCTTGAGAAATCCTAAATACACCACATTTTCTTTGATATGAAAGGTAATTTTGTAACTAGCTTTTCAAATACAGATAGAAGGACTTCTTGATGAAGAAGACTTTAAAACATTGTAAGTCAGAGAAGGGAAGCTGTGTATTGACAGGGTTCAAGCATTGATGCTGATTTCTGCTGCTATGGATATCTCAGCCATTGATCAGGTAAGCAGGAGCTTCAATAATATTTTTTGCTGCATTTCTATGGCAAGCTGCTAAATACTTGATCTTGGCAAGTTATTGAATACTAAAGGTTATTGAATTTAGAATATTTCCTGTTTTTTATGTTTTTAGCCTTAATTAGTTTTCATCAGAGATATTCTAATTATTCCCTATCCTTTCACTTTGACAGTTCATCATTGTTGGAGGTGCAACCAGAATACCCAAAATTCAGTCTATCCTGCAAGGCGTTTGGGGTCGAGAGCTTGGCAAAAACATCAATGCTGATGAAGCAGCTGCAATGGGGGCAGTCTATCGTGCAGCTGACCTTGGTCAGGGCTTTAAGGTTAAGAAGTTCCACGTAAAAGAAGCAGTTGTCCTCCCTATTGAGGTAATTAGTCATCTGTTCAAATTTATAATAACCAGCAGGCTCATTAAGCTAGGGATAGCTAGCTCTGTTGATGTTACTTAAGGTACTTTTGTCTTCTTGCATGCCTTCATTTTCCTGTCTTTTACTAATACAGTTTGTATTTCCAGCTTGTGTACAGGAATCATCTAAATTCATTTTCTCATGAGATTTAGATAATTAACCAAAAGAGTCTTGATATACATTTAAGATATAGAATATAGTAAAGAGAAAAATATGCTGGTTCCATGAATATCTGCAAATTTTGAGGTTTCTTGGATCTAAGTAGTAATTGATAACTCAAGAAATATAATGTCATGTCAACATAGAAGATCCGGATACATAATTTACTTGAAAATCTGTCAAAAGAAAACTTGTTTTCTCCCCCCCCCCCCTTTTTGCAGTTTAGTGAAGAGAAACTCAACCTTTTTTCACTTTCTTAAAATGTAGATACATGCCAAGTATGATTACACGTTGAGAGAGAGAGAGAAAGGAGGCTTCTTTGATGGAATCCTTAAGACGTTTTTGAATTTGGTGAGAGGAATCCTTCCTTGGATTAATGTGTGGAGTTTGCTTTTATCATATCAGGTGTTGGAACAAGTTACTGCTTGATTTGTGACAGGATTGTTTTGTAGATACAAGCCGACAGTGTCAAGGGAAGAGAAATGGGTTTAAGTGGAAGGAAAATACCCCTATATGCAAATAAAATTTTACCTTTGGGCAATGGAATTTAGTGTTATAAGGTAGATAGGTAGATAGATGGGAATAAAGGAGTTTATAAATGTCATTATGTCTGTAAGTAAGTTGAATTTTTATGAGTTTTTAGTTTTAGGGTGTATTTAGAGAAGTAGGAATCTTAAGGAGAAGGGGATTCATAATTCCCTTGTTTATTTTGATATATCCATATTTGTGGAAACCGTCAATTCATCTGCAAACAGCTTGAAATTAACCAGTCTCTGAAATATATATATATATGATAAATAGGGAGACCATAATAATGCTGACAAAGAGAAATAAGAAACAGACAGACTGACCATTGTGATTAAGTCAAGCAAATAGATTGAGGCAGGCAGGCAGGCAGACACAGATTGAGGCAAATGAACGCAATACCACCAGGTTTATTCTATGAATTGTATTAGTATACAGATGACTCCTCAAGTGCATATGTCACCAAGGAGTCGATTATTAAACCTCCTTATCGCTCTTGTTTACCCATTTCCTTGATTTTCAGGAATACTTTTTATTCTGTATTTGTTAATTGTGGTGTGATAATGTAATGACAGTGTAATGTCTGATAATCGACTCCTTAGTGGCTAAGCACTGGTGGAGCTATATGTGTGTAATACATTTCACAAAATACTACAGTGAATACCACATGTTCTCAGCAACATTGGTTCAAACAGTTTGACAGGCAGACATATTGAGAGACAGGAGGAGAGCATGTAAAAATGAACCTTAAATTTATTTTACTGCATGAGATTTGTCAATAGCTAATAGGAATTGTATGTGCATATGAACTGATATATAGTGAAAGCTTAAATAGCAGGTTCTATTTATTTATATGGTGAGAGTCAAGATAACTCTTAGTTGACACATTCATGTAAGACATGTTAGCACTGCTGATTTGAGGTGGCACATAATTAAGCATGCAATCTTGTTTTGTGCATAGATTAAAGTGTTCCTTTTGCCTCTAGTTAGTGCACCTTTTGTCCTTAAATCATGCACAGTGTTGTGGTTTATTCTGTGGTTATAGCAAATTGGAAATTATGATAATTTCTGTAATGACACAAAACAAATGAAGTATACTTTCACTGAAATTAATTTAAAGTTGGGGCAGTTATATGTATTGTGTAACATATTTATAGCAATAAAAGAAAAGCAGGAGAATAATAGATTGAAGTGTATTTTGATGTAGTTGAAAATAGTTTTTTCCTATTGACAATAGTGTGTTCTTATAAACATAAAGATCAAGTAGGAATCCTTTGAATGTCCATATTTTTGTTTGTACGTGCTTTCCTCCACCTCCATAATTATTTTTCAAGGTAGGCTAAATATATATATGTATACATATAAAATTTAGTAAATAAATGTGTATTGCACACTGCAAACTCAGAAGTTTTTTTCTCTCTCTCTTAATTGCTATTTTTATATTAATGTGCATCCTTGTTTTACCTCATATCCTAGATTTGGGATATGTTTAGACTGCGTGAATTCTTATAAAAAATAAATATTAAGCTATTTTATGTGTATTATAATTAGGACACCCATGTGGGATGATCAAATATTCAACCTTTTACTGATCTCCACATGCATCTCGTTCAGGTTGACTTCGAGCGCCAGGTGGAGAATGATGATGGCTCCACCTCAACCAAGGTGGTGAAGCGCTCCCTCTTTGCATTTGGCAACAACTACCCACAGAAGAAGGTTATGACCTTCAACAAGCACACTACAGATTTTAGCTTCTATGTTAACTATGGGGACCTCTCTCACCTTTCTAAGGAGGAGCTCAGGTGAGTCTAATTGAATTTTCATGTCTGCTTCACTTCTGCCTTATTTTTTCTTTGTTTCTTTTTCCTTTTGCTCTTTATCATCTCTTAATTATCCTGGCCATCATCATCCTCTTCTACTACTGTTAACATATCCTCTTCCTATTTTCTTTCTTTTTTGTTTCTTCTTTCTTCCTCCTATCCTAGTCTTTCTTTTCCTTTTCCTCCTCCTCCTATTCCTCTGCTTTCCTTTGCTCCATTTCCATTTCATCATCATTATCCTACTCCTTTTCTCATATTTTTCCCCCCTTTGTCAGTCTAACAGAGAAATTGATATCAGGCATCTGACATCAGATACAAAAAAGATGTTAAGAGATGGTTGTGTGCATATATGTGTGTGTTTGTGTGTATGTATGTATGGGCGTGTGCATGTGTGTATGCGTGTGTGCTTGTCTGTATGTGTGTGCCTGTGCCTATGCCTGTGAGTGTGTTTGTGTGTGTGTGTGTGGGGAGGGGTGCATGCGTGCATGTTTGCACCAATATAGGATTTGCTTTTAATAAGGTTGTCCCTGTGAGTCTTGCCTTTAATTGAAGCATGCATTTCCGCTCATTTCAGGAATGCTAATGCAGAGAACATCTCCCATGTGCTGGTATCAGGAGTGACCTCTGCTTTCCAGAAGCATCAGCAGGAGGGCAGTGAGCCCAAGGGCATCAAGGTATTCATCATTGATGCTGCTGAATTTGTTAGAATTTGGTTGTGTGATTAGTAGTTTTATAGGTCATTTTTAGTACATCTCGTGATTTATCTGTGCTTTAAGTATTCCTTGAGTGCTTTTATTTTGGAATCGAGAGGCAGCCTTCAATGAACAAACTATTTTCCAGGCCCATTTCAACATGGATGACTCAGGAGTGCTGGCTCTGAACATGATGGAGGCAGTATTTGAGAAAAGTGTGCTGGTAGAAGAAGACAAACCCAAAGAGGAGGAGTCAACACTCTCAAAACTTGGTAGCACCATCAGTAAGCTCTTTGCAGGTGAGGGGTATGGCATGGCAGGGAAGTCAGGAGTCTTAAATAGCTTGAAATAATTGATATGCAGATGAACTATTGAATCCCTTCACTGATATGGAAAAAAAATCAAGAAATTTGTATAATGATATGCACATGCAGATCTGAATATAGTTTGTGTGTGTTTGTTCTGGTATATGTACTTTATAGATATATTTTTGTTTATTTAGAATATATTGATGGATTTCATGTTATAAAGACTAAAGAGTCCTGACTTCTTTATGGTGGCTGTAATGTTGCATTGGGGACAAAGTAGTTACTCTTATCACAAGCTGTTTCATCTTCGTACTCTGAATGGTCGTAGAGGTTTCAGTTCAGATTTCCCTGTATTATTATTTTGTGTTGTGGGCGTGCTGACTGTTGCATTTTTGATGAGGAGATTGATCATGCTGTCCTCACCACTTTAAAGTACACCACCACTAAGTGTTCCTAATATGTGAACCACCAGTTTTGACTCTTGTATCTAAACACTTGCCAGCACAAGGAGGAAGAATGTCTTCCATATACAAGAGATAAAACTTGACGGTCTGCATTTGACAGAGCTTCAGTGGTGAACTAGAAAGGGGAGGTGATTGTGTTTGGAAGTGGAGTTTCTTGGATCTATTTATTTTGTGTCACTATTTAATATATATATTTTTTTCTCTTGTAGTATTAGATAGATGCAGAAAAGATTTGCACATTTATATGAAGGAAAGGAGTTTCTGAATGTTGTATTAAAGCAAGAATGTAAAGTAGAAAAATGCCCAAAGAATCAAAACTAAAAAAGTAACTTTAGGTAACCTTGATTATTTAAAGTGATATTTTGATCATTCTAAAATTTGTAATCAAGTTTTGGTTTACCTGTGATGGTAAATTTTGTAACTATCTCTACTTTATTAATTTATTCATCAGGAACAGAACAAGAACGGGAAGGCGGAGAGAAAGAAGAAAGTGAAGATGCAGAGGGCAAGGAAAACAAGACAGAAGAAGACAACACAGAAAAGAAAGAGCAAGATAGCAATAATCAGGCAAAGAAAGAGAACAAGGAAGACCAGAAAGATGACCAAAAATCAGACAAGAAAGAGAAAGAGGAGGATGAGAAGAAAGCTGGCACAGACAAAAAGAAAGAGGGAGAGAAGGAGCTGAAGCCAAAGCAGGTCACAGTCAAAGAAGAGCTGAACATGACCATCACCCACCTAGACGTTCCAGACATGACAGAGGAACAAGTGGCTGCATCCAAGAAGAAGTGAGTTGGGGAAAACTTTGAGGATGGGTTAGAGCTTTTGATTGCATTCCCCCCCTTGTCTTCCTTTAAGCTGTAACGTGTAAAGAATGTGCAAGGCTTGTAAAGTGTTTAATCCTCCTATATGTATATGTTCTATTTGTTGAATGATACAATTTTCTTTTTATAACTTTTCAAGTAGTTTAACCTTTAAATGGCTAGGATAGGTGGAACTTTTGTCACCTGAGAGTGTCTACTTGTTACTTTCTGCCTGCTGTTTAGGGTATAAATTGCCTTCTTTGAAACCTAATTAGGAATTTTTCAAAGGTTGGAGGACATAAATGCAGCTGAACGAGCTCGACATGAGAGGGAAGCTGCACGCAACAACCTGGAGAGCTACATCCTGGATGCACAAGACAAGCTCTACCAGGAAGACTATGAACAGGCCTCCACGGATGAACAAAGGGCAGCCATAAGGGAAATGTGCTCAACGGTAGGTACTCTTCTTGGATAGAAAGGACCTTCCACACAAATGTTAGAATAATGCTGGGATGGTAAAAATACATCTTTACATATTGATAGCTCCTCAAGTGCCTATCACTTATGAGTCAGTTACTAGTCCTGCTGTTCTCGCCAGTTTACTGTTCCTTGATGGCATTTCTCCCTGATGTGTGGCTTGAAGGCTCGGCCCACATAGTGTCAAAACTGCTTACTTCCCCTTTGCAATATCTCCCTTTTTGCATAAGCATTTTTTGCGTTTTTGCCTTTTGATGTGCTGTATCAAGATGGTAATAGAATATTTTCCTTGTATAGACTTCTTATCATCTGTAGGTAGTCTTTAATTCTGTGCAATGATGATAAGTAACTTTGTTTTATGTATAATTTTTCAATATTTTCATAATTTTTAATTTTCTGTAATACAACCAGCACTGCAGGTCACTGCAGGTAGGAATAGTATCTGAGCAAGGAAATAATGTCTTGTCTTGAGTGGACACTCTTCCAGTCATTGTTCATAGATGGTACATTCCACACTTGTTTACCAATGAAAAGAATACAGCAGCCCTTTCTAAATGCTAACTGAGTAATTACCCTCTAAGGGCTTTTTGAACTTGTGGCAAGTCATTCCTGTTACCGTGGCCTTCAGACAAAATTCTCATGTAGGCATGTAAGCAAACATTAATGGAATTAGAGGGGGGGGGGGGAATCTGTGAAAACAGAAATTAAGTGATGTCGTGTAGGTTTTCTTCCTTGATGCCAAAGCACCTTTGGAGCCATCTATGTACAAAACTTTATACAAGCATGTCCTCTTACATGAGTATCAGTTTGTTTGTATATTTCTGTATATTTGTTTTTTGACCATTTTTTCTGAAGCACATTTGATTTTTAAAAAAGCATGATGATTATTGAGGAAATATTTCTTTCATATTCTAATATTATATCATCATTATATATGTACTCCTATTATTTTTTACATTATTTTTTATTATTATCTTCTGCCTCTCAGCTTGACGAGTGGATCTACGATGAAGGGGCAGATGTGGAAGCTTCTGTCTACAAGGAGAAGTTAAAGGAGCTCTCCAAGCTGTTCGAGCCAATCAAGCAGCGTGTGTTTGAGCACCTCAATCGGCCAGAAGCTGTCCAGGCAAGAAACGAAACGATTTTGATATATTTGTCTCTCTTACTAATCTGTGCACTCTGTTTAGGCCTTGTGCATTATTGGGACCAAAAATTAACGATAGACTTGCACACACGTTCACACGAAGCCAGAGAAAAGGGTGGCCGTGATTATTTTTTCACCCGCTTTTTTGCACTGCAGACACGCCTCTGGTCTTGCTTATCTCCTTTTGTAGAGTACCTCAAGGGCAAAGGCAGAGTTCTTAGGAGGAACATGAGGGCTGTTGATCCCTCGGCTTGGCGAACTAACCGCAAACCACCGTCAGATGCAAAATTGCGTAATCGCATTTCACGAAATCAGAGGAATGAAAGATAGTTATTTCTCCCTTCCCTCCTTTTGTTTTTCCCTTCATTCCTTCCTGTGCTAGACAAGGTTCAAGTGTGATTGCTGTAAATATTAACATATTTGTAAAGATGTTGCTATTCCCTTAGATGTATATATATTTTTAGTACATTTGATATAAAGACATAAGCAGTATGTAAATATCTTGACTATAGTGAAATAAAAGGCTATTCAGTTTATATAGTTTTCATATCCCATATCAGAATACCATTAAATTGTCAAATCTTCACATTATTGGGAAAAGCAAGAGGGAGCAGTTTAGCACAGGAAGGAAGATCAGACATGCATGTGAATTAACAATAACCATTCTCCTCCCAATTGCTTTCTACTCTCTTCTGGCCTGTTTACTTCTTGGATAATCATTATTCTTCCTTTTTACTTGGGCTATTTATCACTTTTGCCAGAACTGGGGACTCGCACATCATTTCTTTGATAGATTGGACTGCAAGCTACATTTACATTGGTCTAGGGATTAACTACTACTGTCGCTGCTGTTCCTCATACCTTCTGCTTCTGAATGCTGTCTTGCATACTTCTCCCGTGTGGAAATGTGGGTTTTATCTATGTCCAAGATTGCAGGACTGATGTTGATCATCATCATCATCATCATCTTTCTTTTTACTCAACTTTTTTCACTCTTCTTTTTTATAGTTTTTTTTTTGTTGTTGTTGTCTTCCTCCTCCTCCTCCTTTTTTTCTTATTTCTCTTCCTCTTTTTCATTTTTACTTTATTTTTCTTATTTTTTATTTTTCTAATTCTCCTTTTTCATATTCTTCTCCTTTTTCATATTCTTCTCCTTTTTCATATTCTTCTCCTTTTTCATATTCTTCTCCTTTTTCATATATTCTTCCTTTTTCATATTATATTCTTCTCCTTTTTCATATTCTTCTCCTTTTTCATATTCTTCTCCTTTTTCATATTCTTCTCCTTTTTCATATTCTTCTCCTTTTTCATATTCTTCTCCTTTTTCATATTATCCTTTTTTCATATTATTCTTCTCTTTTTCATATATCTTCTCCTTTTTCATATTCTTCTCCTTTTTCATATTCTTCTCCTATATATTCTTCTCCTTTTTCATATTCTTCTCCTTTGTTTTTCTTCTCATTTCTTCTTCATCTTCATCATCTTTTTCTTCTATTTCTTCTTCTTTCTTATTGTTATTCTTCTTTTCTCATTCTTCTTATTCATTTCCTTTTTATTTTTATTTTAATTTTAATTTTTCTTAATATATTTTTTTCCTTTTTACCTTTGTCTTTTTTCTTTTTCTCCATTCCTTCATTTCTTTTTTTTCTGCACCTCCTCTTTTTTTCATCTTCATTTACCTGTTCCTCATCCTCATCCAATTCTTCTTTACTTTCTTCCTTCATCTTTTCACCTCCCCCTTTATTTGGTATCTTTACCCCTCCCCTTCCACAATTTGAACTAAGATCAGAAAACTGGTAGAATTCGGACATAATGGTTGCTAACCAATTTAACCCACTTGCACCAGGTGTCATACATATGTATACACCTGGAATAAGGACAATGGCCGGCTATCCCACTGGTGTGACGTTAGATCGGAGCTTGTGCTTTGATTTTGTCGCTGCCCTGCACGCCAATTTCGATTCTGTCCAGAAATAGGGATTATCGTTCTCCAAATGTACCTTTTGTAAGTGGGTTAAGCAGAGACATAACAGAGCTAACCAAGTGGGTTAAGCAGAGACATAACAGAGCTAACCAAGTGGGTTAACCTTGTGGGTTTTTAACAGAGGTGTGGGTTAAGCAGAGACATAACAGAGCTAACCAAGTGGGTTATAACAGAGCTAACCAAGTGGGTTAAGCAGAGAGCTATGGGTTAAGCAGAGACATAACAGAGCTAACTGGGTTAAGCAGAGTTTAACAGAGACATAACAGAGCTAACCAAGTGGGTTAAGCAGAGTAACCAAGAAGCACAGAGCTAACCAAGTGGGTTAAGCAGAGACATAACAGAGCTAACCAAGGGGCAGCACACATAACAGAGCTAACCAAGTGGGTTAAGCAGAGACATAACAGAGCTAGAAGCAGAGACATAACAGAGCTAAGGGTTAAGCAGAGACATAACAGAGCTAACACAGAGACATAACAGAGCTAACCAAGTAAGTTAAGTGGGTTAAGCAGAGACATAACAGAGCTAACCAAGTGGGTTATAGATAACAGAGGAATTAAACTTATCTGAGGATTAAGAATAGAGGATAGAAGAGAGAGAGAGGAAGCAGAGACATATAACTTGATAACAGAGGATTGATGATAACAGAGGAAAGAAGATCTAAAGAAATTGCAGAGAACTCAGGGGGAAAGGGTGATGGATGGAAGAGAATCGTATAGTGATAATGAGAGAGGCTAGAGAGAAAAGTGAGTGATAATATAAAATCAGTTCGAATTCAATATTTTATTCCATAAGATGAAAGAGAAAAGGTGAAAAGAGTAATGACAGGTGGATAGAGAAAAGAGAAGTGACAGATTGACAGATTGACAGAGTTAAATGGTATAGAGAGACAAAGATGGTATAGAGAAAATGAGACAAGACAAACAAACATATAGATGGTATAGAGAGATGAGACAGACAGAGACATGGATGGTGTGTGTAGAAAGATGAGACAGACAGAGACAAAGAGAAATGAGGAAAGGCAGATAGATAGATATATTTAGGGGGGGGGGGGAAAGAAAGACAGATAGATAGAGAAAAAAAGGAAGATAGACAGAGATATCTAGGGCTCCTGTCTAACTGCCACTTTTTCCTAGGCCTTGACGGACATGATGAACAAGTCATCCGAGTTTGTGCAGCGAGCCAGAGATGCACCCCCAGAGCTGCAATTCTTCACCGATGTAGAGATCGACACCATGGATAAACTCATCACGGATACCCAGGTGAGTTGTTGTAAAGTTTTGCCAGACTTTTTGAAAATATTCCAGTTTGTAGTACAGTTTGAACCTTGCTAGTCTGGTAAGCATAGGACAGGACATACCGCAGAGTAGTTGGGTTTTTAGAACAAGTGAAATTTAGAGGAAAAATTTGCAAAGTACTGGTAATGAATAATTTTGTATTAGATATCAGTAATCTAAAAATAGAATTAGTCACAGAATTAAATGTGGTAGATGTTATTGCTTTATATACTTTATAATTAATAAAACAGATTGATTGGAAATACACTAGTAAATCAAAACAAAATGTTTTTGACATGGCATCTTGTTTATACAATGAAAATGGATGATCTGCTCTTATGAAAATGAATATAATGAGTAATATCCTGCAGTAGTCATGGTGATGTCTCCACTCTCCTCATGATAAGTGTTTGCTCTTGGATAATATGTATTTGCAGAGGTATAATTCTTTTCTGTCCTCCATGGTTGGAATGTGCTATTGTAAGTACGGTGTCAAACTAAAGTTGGAGATTAGTCTTCCAAAAAGATCTTCACTTTTTGAGTTTTCCCCCATTACATTACTTAACCATGGAGATAAATAATATTTAGAAAGGTTGATCTTAGTAATTTATAGTCTGCAGTGTGGTACGTCTAAGGTAGCCAAAAGAATTAATCTTTAAGATGCAGAACATTTTATACACCAAGAAATAATTTTGCTAAATGTGTGAATACATTTTAGTTATGAAAGAAATGTTTGTTTCCATTCCTCCAGAAATGGCTGGAGGACAAGGAGGAACAACAACAGACACAGGCATTGTCTGATGAACCTAAGTTGAAGCTGAATGACATTGGGGAGAAGCTTGGAGCTCTGGATCGTGAGGTAGGATTATTACACAGTGTTGCAATTGATGCAGTAGATGATTACTAATTTCAACTAATTGCCTGCAGTTTTGACAATGCAACAGATGGAGATAATCATATTTTTATTTTTGTTTATTCCTTTGCAGATCAAATATCTTGTGAACAAAGCCAAGATCACCAAAGCCAAAAAGGACAAGGAAGCAGCAGAGGCCAAGGTAAAGGCAGAAAAGGAGGCCAAAGAAACAGGCAAGAAGAAGAATAACACAGACAACTCAAAGAGTTCAAAATCAAAGAGTGGAGGGGAAACCAAGCCAGACACAGAAGAAAAAGATACAAGTGAGAAAATTGTTACAGGTGAGTACTTGCTCATACAGTCATCCTGAGAGTTGGAAAAATGCTTTTTGAGCTGCTGAGCACTGTATACCTCTGTCATGTGGGGAATCTTAGACTGGAAAGTTACAACTTCTTTATTTATTTTATTTTTTGTAACTCATTTCAAGGTATACCAGTTGACTGATATCGGGAATGCTAATATTACCATTAACCCATGGTGAAGTGGCCTGATTTATTTGTGATTTGATATTACCAACAGTCTAGACTTTGTGGCTTGACCTAATCTATACAGGCAGCCCACCTGCTGTGAGTCATGATGCATTTACACATCATAGGCTGTTACATCATGACAGCTATAGCTGTTACCGTCACAGAGTGGTTAAGCAGTGTATAAATATTTTGTCCACCATAATTTTAGCATAAAGATTTGTTTACACATGGATGGACCCACAAGGAATTGATTTGAAAGTCTACCAGATCTTGCCTATATACCATCACCTTTGAATTTTGGGAAAGAAAAGTTGGTATATTTATTACAACCAGTATGATTAATAACATTATGAAAATGAATGTCAATAATCATAATAATATCAATGGTAAAAACATCATAAGAATAAAAAAATAAAATAAAATAAGAATGAGGTAAATAAGGGGTTAGGTAGGCCTAGTGATAGGGACTCAAATGGTTGTGGTACCATTGATAAAACAAAACTACAGTGGACACTGCATGTACCCAGCATCAGTGGGGTGATTAAAGAGAATGAAGCTTACAACCACTGTGGGACAACAGCTATGCAGAAGTGTGACCTACAATCAGCTAAAGTTTTGCTCTTAATTTGATTTAGTTTTTACTCTTCCAACTTAAAGCTAGAATAGATTATTTAACTTGTTGCTTTGCATTATGAGACAATTAGTAAGAGAGTGAGAGAGAAAGTCACTTTTGATCATATTCCCCCTACAGGAGAAGAACCAGTAATACAGGAGAGTGAAGAGTCACCCTATGTCTTCGAAGAGGAATCGGAAGAAAATAATAGTGAGGAAGACCGAAGGAAAGAAGATATAGAAGTAGAAAAGAAAGCTGGTAAGTTGTTTGTTTACACTAGTATGTGTTGTTGTTGTAAAAGGGTTCATTATAGTCATTCTATTTTAGGTTTATGAAATGCAAGTACTTTTTATTTGAATTACTTTTTTTCCTGTGGAGCTGCAAAAGCTCAAAAAAGAAGGATCTGTCTCTGCTTCATTCTGATGTAGCCTTTAGAAGTCTTGGAGTTTGGGGGAGGAAGTACCATAAATATAAACATTTTGAAGTAGAATACAAATAAGAGAATACTAATTTTCCCATAGTTTTTTTCCCAATATGCAGGCTGTAACAACACAGACTTCCAAACACTTAATTTGAAATGCAGTATGTTAGAGATCATCTGTACTGGTATAACAATCAGTTTATAAAACTCTGATGTGTGTCTCATTCTCTTTCTCATTCTCACGGTTCTCTTTTTACCCATTCTATCTTTTTCTCATTAAAGCTACTGTTTCTTCCTTTTGGCCACTCCTTTGCAGAGACATTTATTTACTGATTATATGATAACATAGAGATTATGATGTATGCAAAACTAGTCCAGGAAGTCAAAACACAATTAGATTTCATAAATCTGCACTCAGCTGCTGTACTTCGAATTCCACTCTTGTTTCTCCAGCTCTCCCCCGTCCCTCATGGATGACTCCCCCAAACCCCATCTGGTCGTATCTGTCATCCGCCATAGTCATTTTTATCATCCACATGCTGTTCACCCACCCTGCTGGCATCAGGTGTGTTGGGAGAAATCCAGCTTTGGATAAAAGAAAAAAAAATAGAGAATTGATCAGGTGGTTGAGACAGATAATTTTGTCCTGTGCTGCTTCTTCATAAGGTTGACCTGGAAGTCAGGCATTTTTCTTTCATTTAATTTTGCTTTGTTACTTTCCAAGGATTAAAAGATTGTTTTAGCTCAGCTTTTTGCCTTTTTATTTATATATTTATTTATTTATTTATTATTTTTTTTTCTTTCTTTTAGAAGCCCACATGTGACCCATTTTAATTGTTTATCCTTTTTCTTCTTCCAGATGATAAAGGACATGTTGAGTTGTGATGAGACTGGATAAAGGGCAGGAGTTTTTGGCACCACAAGTAAAATAATTATCAAGATCCATCAATGCTGATACAACAGGAATCTGTTTTCAAGATGCACTTCTATATTGGCACATGTGCAGGAAGGACATATGGGTCTGTGTTCAGGAAAATAGAAAAGACCCTTGTGTATGACAAATTGACTTGTGTTGCTCTGTACCCTGGCCAGGCCAAATGTGCTCTCCCAAAACAGTGATTTAAGTTTAGATTTCTTCCCTTGGCTACCTCTGTAAAGATACAAGACAGCACTCGACAGATGGCCCTCTTACCTTAATCACTCCTTTCTTCCCTCCTACTTTAAAAGTGGTCATTTGCACAATGAGTAGTCACGAAATGACATTTACCTGTTTTTGAATGCTGTTAATTTATTAGGTGTCTGTTGTCATAAAAAGAAAAAGTATTTGAAATATGGAATTTCTTGCCCATTTCAGAGAAGTAAATTTTACACTTTTGATTCTCTCATTTCCTTTCCCCCAACTCCTGAGAAGTTTGTGGAGAGACCTCTGCCAGTTCGTTTATAATTGATGCTATATGAATCAGACAAAATTACTTTAGGTATTGTTGCATCTTGCAAAGCATAAATCTGATTTACATTCAAGGCCAGTTGTATCTCCAAAACTAAAAGTTACAAGATCACTAAAGCAGCAAATCACTTTGCAAATGTTGTTGATGGTTTGAAATACTATTTTTCCAGTGTTAAAAGAATTAATACAACAAGAATATTGCATATTCTTTTGAATCAAGAGTGAGATTATTTATTATCTTCATAAAAGATTGTAGTAGATCTGTTTTAGTAGTGATATGTAGGTTATTGTAAAGGTTCTGGTCCCATGCATGCTGCTGCTCTGGAAAAGTCAGGTAGTATAGAACATTCAGTTTGAAATACAAATGTGCAAGTGATCTTTCTTGAACAAAACAGTGGTCATGTATTGGTTAAAGGGTAAACATTTTTATTAGATAGAATTATTTGCTAGAGAACTTATTGACATTCCAGATATCTTAGTCATTAAAAAATGAAATTTGAACTTGTTTTGAGTCTGAAAAATGTGGAACGGATAAATTGATTTTTACAAGCTGTGTGCAAGTGTACTTCGTCATGAATTGTTGGAAGAACATATTGTATTTTCTAAAAAGGAATGGTAGGAGAATGGCATTGCCCTTTGAATATAATATGTGTTGGGTAGTGATGTCTATCTTGTCCGGAAATGCATTTGGTGTGTATAATCACCTACATTTTTTTTTTTTGTTCAGAACATATATTTTGTTCAGGAGCAACACCATCTTTCTCTTGTCTGTACTGAATCTTACACAGTGGCAAAATCATGCAATGAAACAGGTCAGTAATTATACAGATAACCAGAAATGTATAAATGCACTTTTTTATTGGAAGAACTATTATAAATGTTGGGTATAATAATAAGTAGTAAATTAGAATTCACTTTTAATTTATTTTTATCGCATTAAGTGAATGTATTAACTGCATTTTCATTTTCATATTTATTTACTTTTCTAGCACTTTAGTCTGTTATTTTTGTTTTCCTAAGGAATTTTCAGGGTGCTGCATATGGTGTGATTGAGGTAATCTTTAGTTTGCTGTATGTATGAGAACTCGGATAATTTGGTAAAATCTAAAAGGTATGCGAGATGTTGATCTCTTGCAGTTGCTTAACAATAAATGACGAAAATTTTAACCCGTAAAAGGTTCTACTTATTTATGAAGGGAAGAAGGCCATGTTGTACATGACTTTTAGAACCCAAAAAGTAAAAGTAAACTTGGGAATGACTTTCACTGTACATTTTCTGCTTTTAAGAATGAAAGATAGAGATCTCACATACTTAAAACAAAATACTCAGGCAGAACATTTCAGGTACTGCTGGGCATTCGTAAGATTAATGTAACACAAAAGAGGAAAGTATTTTGTACATTGATATTGGATCAAATTTCAGATGATGGTTTTCGGAGATCATTTCTAAGATATATTCAGTACCTCTTCAGAAAAAAAGTAGATGGATTAAAATTTCAGCAATTTTTGCAGGAGTTTTTGCCTGTATTTGTTGCTGTGTTATTTTTTGTCCATTTTTAAGGGAAAAACTATTATACAAATGTCTTGACGATGTATGAATTCTTATTGAGTTGATCAAAGGAAGGACTACATTTCCTATTGTTAATTTGTTTATTGCTCTACAAAATATTAGTTGTCAGACATCACATGTTAAATTTTTTTTTAAATACACACCAAAGATTTTTCAAAACATTCTTCTTGAACTGTACCCAGACAATTTCCAATAGGAATACCCTTTTATCCTTTGTTTTGTCCCTTTTTGTGTAATGGAAAAGACTTAGTAAATACTCCCTCATACAAGCTACGTCCGTGGTTCTCATTGTCCTCCTCTCCCTATCCCAGGCTGTCCCCGTTCCTACCAGGTTCCATCCTAGGCTTCCCCCATTTCCTCTGAGTTCAAGGCACAGTCTAATGACGGTCTTCACATTTATACAAAAATATACATATATTAGAGTTACAGCCCACGTTGGCCTCCAAGCAGAATTAAGAAAATCGAAATGTTAATCCAGCGTGGCTTATACGTAAGGGTATACTTGTATCTATCCATATACACTACAAAATCTACCAATCTGCTATTCCTCTTCTGTCTAAAATTATTCTCCAGTTTCTTCCCTGGATATGTAATTGGATTACATTCTAAAATTGCTTCGTTTGGCTTTTAATATGTACTGAGAGAGAAACAAAAGGCAGCCAGATGTAAACATGTTTATATATATGTACATCCCTACACATACAACCATACGTATATATAATGTATAAATGTGTTTGTAAGTACACATAGACTCAAGCTTTTTCATGGTCTGTGGACAGTTTGGCAAACGTTTGTCTGGATATTTGTAAAATCAAACAAGGGTATTGGTATTTGGCAGAAAAAATAAAACTAAATGTATGGTAAACGATATCCATTTGTAAATATGTTTAACCACAGTCCAGAGGTGGCGAGGATGAAGTGGTCGAGGTTTCTGTAGTAACGAGGTTTCTGTAGTACTGTAATATCACATGCATTTGCACAAGAGAAGGATATCTTGTTTCTCACAGTGAGTGAAGGTGTATGATTTTCTTTATGTCGGATTGTGTTCGTTTCTTATAATAAATATGAGAAAATAAACCTGTTCTTCATCACCTTCGGTTTGTGCAACACACACTTTCTGTTCTAGAATAGAATCCGAAGCAGAAGTCAGATATAGTGTACAGTCGTCATAATAATACGTAGAAGAAATGTTGAAATGATCCCTTAATGCATAGCTGAACAAAATCGGGTTAACTGAATATTACAGTGGCTTGATAAGCAACAAGTATGGCCCTTCAGCTACCTCAATCCTTTGCTCGTTGTCTTAGGGATGGGGGCTTAGGAGACGAAGATTGGGGCCCAATGTAGCGGATCGCCTCTACTTTGACCCTCCGCCCTCACTCCAACTAATTTTGCGTGGTCTTTTCTTCTCATATTTTCATTTTCCTTCCCTTCTCCATCCCCTTCCTCTGTTCACATCCTAAAGTGTGAGAGCCGTTCTGAAAGGATGAAAGCCTGTGTCAGTCTTGAACGGCCTTCGTACTCGTTTGCTATTTCCTCTTTACCCTTTTCAATAGATAAATAAAATCACCAACTAAATTTGCAGGGTCTTTAATTTTTCTGTTCTTCACCTGTCCACATCCTAGTGTGAGAGCCGTGCTGAAAGGTTGAAAGACTGGCTTTGTGTCGCTCCCGAACGGCCTTCGTACTCTTATTTGCTCTTTCCTTTTACCCTTTTCCCTACTGTACTAACCTACAATCCAGTACAACCTTTAATTTGCCCAAGTCATTAACGTATTTTACCATTTTTCGCCACAGTACGTTATAATAGTGTTGCATGATCTTTGATGTGCGGCGCATTTATTTGTTTTGGCCATTAACCATTCTAGGAATCCATAAACATCGCCTTGTGAACGAAAAACTTCCTTATGCAGGAGCTTCTCCCCCAAGCCCTACTCTCGTTCTGTATTGAATACGCCGCTAATGATTTTCAACAAATAAATAAATATTGCCGTTTAACCTAAACATAGTTTCTATTATTAAAAAAAAAATCATGGATCTTACCAGTAGTCTTTCTTTGACTAATGGACAATCAGGAAAGAAATAAAGCAAGAAAAAAATTATTTTTCACATACAATAATGAAATGTCGAGATAAGTCGGAGGTGACAGCAATTAAAGGTATTCCCAACGGTTCTAGTGGAGGAGAATCGCTCCGTACTTGGAGAACGGTCTGCCAGATCCAGACTATGCAGCAGTGATGTGAAATAGACAGGGAACACTGCTTTGCTTTCACAGTAACAGCAATGTACAAAGATTGCAAATACTGTTTACAGTAATCTTAAGATTCGTATCCCGCCAATTCCATGTCCGTTGTTGTCTTAGAAGACGGGAATGGGCCCAAGGTGAATTACCTTGGACCTCAGCCCTCGCCTCAACTAATATTGCATGGTCTTTTCTTCTCCACATTTCCTTTTCCTTCTCTTCATCCTCTTCTGTCCACATCTTAAAGTGTGAGAGATATGCTGAAAGGATGAAAGGCCGGTTTTGTGTCAGTCCTGAACGGCCTTCGCACTCAGTTTTTAATCCCTCTTTACCCTTTTAACTACCATATTAACCTCCAGCGCTCTACAACCTTTAGCATGTAACACATTTTGTCCTAATTGTGAACTAATTCACAATACTTCATCATAAATCTGTATGACTTTTCCCTACCTGGACGCTTTGCCCCAATGCACACCTAATTGCTATATTGTGTATACGCCGCTAATGACCTTAGATGTTGATGCGGCAGACATTTTTCAGTAAATAATTAAGATTCGCATTAACTACTTTTGTTACTATAATTGAATTAAAGAAATAAGCAAGGAGGTTTGTCCCAACATTTTTCAGTCTCTCACTGATTCATTTTCCGGGCTTGTTCTTCGGACGATCTAGCTATATCGCCTTCCAGGACCTCCCATCATTTCTTATCCGGCTGTATAAAAAGAGAGAGAGAGAGAGAGAGAGAGAGAGAGAGAGAGAGAGAGAGAGAGAGAGAGAGAGAGAGAGAGAGAGAGAGAGAGAGATAAAACGGCTCTAATCTTACCCTTCTCCGTGAGGCTGTGTAACCTGATTCGCGAAGAGCTTCGTGGAGCTCGCCCAACATTCCCATCTGTACTGGGATGTCATAGATCGTAGGCTTCCGACATAGAACCACCAGAATCACCTGGATCTCCCGATTTCAAAGGACAGTAAATGGTACGTCTCATGATTTTGAAAAATGCGTGCGTCAACTTAAAGATACCCTATGGCATAGCCATAGGGTAAGTGTTTGTGTGTGTGTGTGTGTGTGTGTGTGTGTGTGTGTGTGTGTGTGTGTGTGTGTGTGTGTGTGTGTGAGAGAGAGAGAGAGAGAGAGAGAGAGAGAGAGAGAGAGAGAGAGAGAGAGACGTGTGTGTGTGTGTGTTTGTAGAGTCTGTGTGCATATATATATTATATATTATATATATATATAATATATATATTATATATATATATATATATATATATATATTATATATATTTATATATATTATATATATATATCTTTATTTATTATAAATATATATACTATTATATATTCTAAAAAATATCTATCAAACTTTTTATTTATTTTTTTTTTTCTTTTTATACAAAGATAAGTATAGTTTTTTTTTTTAGGCTAGCAACTCTTTCTTTCTCAATCAATTAAATATTTTCTTCTATTTTTTTTTTTTTTTTTTTTTACATTTTTGATCAATTCATTTATTTACACAGCTGAGCGGCTTCTTCAGTGCTACTGCTTCAATCAAGGGTCGTCGTTTACGCCCCGCGATGCCTTTCTCGTGGCGGAGGCGAGACTCACCACGTGCTGGGGAAGGACATCCACTCACCATCAGGATATACTGTGGGTCACCAACAGGATCAAAGACCTTATCCTAGCAAGACAAAAAGCTTACAAGAAACATTGATGCAACGAAGTATTTAGCAAAAAAAAAAAAAAAAGACAAGAGAAAGATCAGCTAAGAAATATCACAAGCAAATAATTATAATCAGTGAAGCAAACCCCAAATCATGGTATAGCCTCATCAGAAATATAATTGGTGACAAAAGAAGTGACAGTTACCTTTCTCAAATCAGTGAAATTGCCGACTTGCCAGAGAGCGCTGCTAACATCATTAACTGTCACTTTCTAACATCAACAAGCTACTCCCACTCGTGCAGACTGATCTCCGCTGCGGTGTCCCTCACATAACGGGTAATACTGTTACTGTTCCTGATAATGGTAAGTGAGGATAATATTCCGCACGCGAAGATCTACAAATATGTGGACGACATGATGCTTGTACTCGTACAAACCTTGCCCTGGTTTGTACACAAACCAGGGCAAGGCAAACCTAGTTACAAGACGCCCTCAACCAAGTGTCAGAGTGGGCATCGTCAAATGAAATGTTTGCCAATACCAAGTGCACAGAAACTAAATTTAAATGTAGATTAGCCGACTGTGATAGTACTCTGACACGCGCCAGAGGTGAATGTGTGAGGAGTAGTGATCAGTGACGATCTAAAGTGGTTCGGCAATACCAAGAAATTGATTTCAAAGTGCGGAAGAAGGTTTTTCATGCTTAATAAAAAAAACCTCGGTGCATCCCAAGAAGACCTCCGCATATGGACGAATTTCATTCGACCAATTTGTGAATATGCAGCACCAGTCTGGCATTCGTCCATTACCCGCTTTGAAAAAAAAAAAAAAAATGGAAAGACTTCAACAAAGAGCATTATGTATCATTCTTGGGTCACTACACATTCACGGATGCGCTAAATCAACTGCAGATCCCCTCCTTAGAAGACCGGAAAAAAAATCTTAACAGAAAAATTCGCTCACATCTATACATCTGCGAGACATCGGGATCTGCGGTACGACTTTGAAGCGACACAGGAACCACGGTGGGGGAAGGTGAATTTATTAACTATTACGTTGGGCGTTGTTCTGCGCGAATCACTCATGTAATTAAAGGTAGCTTGTGGACGAGGGAAAATATTAGGGCCTAAATGGTGGGACAGGCGTTTGTGAAAGTATTAGTTGAAAAGGGTGTTTGCTAAAATCGTTTGTAAAGTTTGTTTTTGTTTCTATGCAGTACTGTGGTATCCTGTTCAGTCTTATGAGAAAAGTGTGCATGCTTGTAATATTGGTGTGGCTTGTCGGAAATTTGTGGTGTGAATTTCGTGTTCCACTTGTATGTTTTGGAAAATATTTGTGTTTATTAATGTCTATGAGGGTGTTTGCAATCTTGAAAATGATTACAGGCCTGTGTGCTTGTTTACATATCTGGAGCAGATCCATGTAAATTTTTTTTTTTATTGTTTGCATTGTAACGCCAAGATTGCGAGTGAATCAGGCAGCCAAAGCATTTCCCTGCCCGAGCCTGTTGACGTTGCGCATGGTGCAAGAGTTACGTTTTGGCAAAAGTGCATTGTGGGTATTAATGGAAAGTAATGTTAACAACGAATCGAAGGAAATAAACTTCCTTTGAAGATATTTAATTAATGATCACTTTTCTTAAAATAAACTTTCGCAAATGAATAATAAAGAAGCTATTTAATTATCAAAATACTTTAGAATAGTATTAAGCGGAGGTGCAATTCAAGGAAATTCTTGCACAGACGCCGCGCACCAATGCCATGCACAAATCGTTGCGCTGCCTTTTAGGTTTAACGGGTGTCACCGAACACGGCAACGAAGCAGCGCGATCCATCATGGATCTCTCTCTCTCTCTCTCTCTCTCTCTCTCTCTCTCCTCTCTCTCTCTCTCTCTCTCTCTCTCTCTCTCTCTCTCTCTCTCTCTCTCTCTCCTCTCTCTCTCTCTCTCTCTTCTCTCTCTCTCTCTCTCTCTCTCTCTCTCTCTCTCTCTCTCTCTCTCTCTCTCTCTCTCTCTCTCTCTCTCTCTCTCTCTCTCTCTCTCTCTCTCTCTCTCTCTCTCTCTCTCTCTCTCTCTCTCTCTCTCTCTCTCTCTCTCTCTCTCTCTCTCTCTCTCTCTCTCTCTCACACTGAGGGAATACTGACCAAATTCTCCTCTGCGCATGCGCGGGGACTTTCATT